AGGAATAGTATAGGTATAGTATAGGCTAGCATTAAGCTATATCGCTCAGCTAGCCTTAAATATAGATATTTGTTAAGCAAGTCAGAAGATAAAGCACTCCCGAAATGATTTATCCGCGTACGCTAGTGTTATCGTTAGGGATACGTAAATACAATGCTTAATAATAATAATAATGTTTATTTCTCAGTTTATAACAGACAATACATAATAAAACTTATATCTATTTAAATACAGGTATGTTCATACTCATTGTCTAGAATATGTGAGGAGCTGGTCTCTGAGTTAGGCTATAAAATGCCTTTCTCATAGTCCACATACGCCAGACATAGTGGCAAATTGTACTTCTCGGACTTCTGTACAATTTGCCGAAGGGTGTGTGTGTGATCTATGGTGCTAAAGCCCTTTCGGAAACCGGCTTGTTCGGGAGGCTGGAAGTCGTCAAGTCTGTGCGCGAGACGGTTCGTAATGACTCTCGAAAACAGCATAGACGCGGCTCCGAAGGGAAATCGGTCTGTAGTTCTTCAAGAAAGCGTTGTCGCCTTACTTGAAGAACAAGACCACCGCACTTCTGCTCCACGCCTCCGGAGTAGTGCCACCATGGAGGACGGAATTAAAGAGCTTCTGAAGGACTTCAAGTACCGGTTTTCCACCCGCTTTCAAAAGCACCGCTGTAATTCCATCCTTGCCCGGGGACTTGCCGTTTTTAAGGTGCTGGAGAGCCATTCTAATCTCGCTCAGACTGACGTCCGGGATATCTTCGGAATAGTGTCGGATAAGATTCGCTCTTGGATCCTTACTCACACTTGTGTGTGGCTCCAACGATGACGTGTACAGCTGCCCATAGAACCTCTCAATCTCACTCAAAACCTCAGGTGTCCCGGAAACGATGCTGCCACACTCGGTCTTCAGCTTTGAAAGTTGGCTCTTTCTGGCAGACAGATCTCTGGCAAAGACTTTGGAGCCTTGGTTCCGCTCGATCGCTTCTTCAATACGAGCTGTATTGAAGTTGCTTAAGTCCCGCCGCATGCATTTGGAGATCTGTCTGTTCAGTTGCCTGTATGCTGTCAAATCTGTTGAAGAATGTAGCTTCACCTCCCGTCAAATGTCATGAGACTAAGAGTGTGATCGGTGAGTTTTTGTGTTCTTCTGCGGCGGGTTTTGCAGAACTCAGCTCGGTCCGCAGTTTCAGACAGTTTCCACGAGCTTGTCATTCATATCGTCCACTTCATTGCAGTTTTCTAGGCATAGAAAACGGTTTTGTAACTCGAGCTGAAAGATTTCGGGACTTTGGATTAGAGCACGAGGGGGACGGAGCGTTGACTTCTTTAGACGAGACCTCTCCAACTTAACGTTTAGGTTCAGTGTGCCTCTAATCATTCGGTGATCCCTACCAGTTTTCACCCTCGCGATCACGGAGACATCACTGAACAGTTGTCGTCTGGTCGTCATAATGAAGTCAATCTCATTTTTTGTCGAACCGTCGGGGCTCGACCAGGTCCACTTCCTGTGGGCCGCTTCTGGAAGAAAGAGTTCATCATAAAGAGTCCCTCTTTCTCCATGAAGTCTACCAGCTGCTGGCCTCTTGGGTTCCGTTGCTCTATTCCAAATTTCCCTACTTTCAGCTCACCGTTCTCTCTTGTGCCTAGTTTTGCATTGAAGTCTCCCATTAACACCGTATAGTGGGTTTTGGAGGAATGCATGGCTCTAGAGATATTCTCATACATTTCCTCCACCTCCTCGTCGGGATGTGCCGAGGTTGGTGCGTAAACCTGTATGACCTTCAGCGAATACCGTTTGGTGATTCTGAGTATAAGGTACGCAACCCTCGTCGACACACTCTCAATCTTTACAACGTTGTTAACGAGAGACTTGTGTACGATAAATCCGACACCTCCTTGGAACAGATAGTCGCCCTCCCGGTGATAGAGCATGTTGCAGGATTCGAGGATTACCGTGTCCTCCCCCTTTTTTCGGACCTCGGATAATCCTATAATATGCCAGTGTAACTTGTCTATCTCTTTTTCCAGCTCCAGGATCTTCTCGTCAGTCCTCAGGGTGCGTGCGTTGTATGTTATTTTCTTAGCACCCCCTGCCCCACCGTTACAATGGTCGCCACCGTAGCCAGGAATAGCGGGGCCGCCGGTTACTTAGGGCCGTCTCTTTGTTGCTATAATCATTGGGGGGTATGATTAGTTACATCTTTATTTCTGAACTCTTTCATTTCACGTTGCTATGGTATTTTGGAAATTTTATTGATTAATAAGTATAAGAGTTTGATAGCTCAAGAATCATTTCATGCCTACACACTTTTCATGTATCGTGTACGGTTTTCTTTAAAACTGGAAAAAACCGCGCTTCGGGACACTTTCTGGGACGTGAGGTGGGGGAGGGGGGGGGGGGGGGGACGAAAGTTGATAAAACTTAACTTCGCTCTACATCATACATAATATGCCGACAGATAAAACTACTCCATTAATTATGCCAATTTTTCCATTCATTGCATCAAATAAAATATTTAATTGCAATTACAAAATGCTTGAACTAGGTCATGTCGCGCACCTCCGACACGTGATGACGCGGGTGAAACCGCGGGGCACAGCTAGTATATATATATAAAGAAAACGGCACATTAACGGCTAAATCTACCCCAAATCCTTCAGATTAACATGGCTTCGGATAACGTGTCTTGGATGATATAGTTAAATCCAAGCTATCTAAAGTTTTAACGTACTTGAGACATTTTCGTTAGTTATTATTTAAAGAAAATACATATAAGCAAGGGTGACGAACACACACATAATTTTTAATAAAAAATAATAACCAGAATGAAATCATATAAAGAACTTTTACTAAATGAGTATTAACGGAGTTTTTAGAGTTTTAAACGAACTTACAGTGGTTGTACTGCCGGTTAGTGGCTACTGTAGTTTATGAAACAAACATGCTACCAATTCGAAACAGAGAGAATTTAGAAAGTTTCCAATTAGAACACAACAATGGGAGCTGCTTATCGACAAAAAGAGTTAATAGGCATGTCCCTACTCATACACTTAAGACTGTTAAATATGTATTATAGAAGTAACACCACCACCTTGCCTCATCTTAATCAGCCTGTAACTAATCCAGTCAGGTTTGGGTCCCTCCATTAGTAAGAAGGACTGGAGGATACTTTTGCGTTGTTGGTTACGTATAACTTAGTACTTCAGCATACTTTACAACTAAATGTTCTAACGATTCACTACTTAAAAAATTCTAAAAAAGAGAACAAATGTTTATTTACATAATTGTTTTCCGCTTTAAGTTTCAAGTCATTCGGGGTACCTACATGTTATAGAAAAAGTGTATAATAAATGTTATACGGCACTTTACAATGCAAAATAACGTTTCGTTATATTATGTCTGTGCTCAGAACTCATATTTTTGGTCTAAAGCTACGACGAGTTTGAACATGGGTATTTGAGTCTGGGCATCAGGCTAAAACTTAATTTTTACCCGACTGCGGAGCGTAGGTAATGTGCTTATGAGCCTATATATGCATGTATGTATGTTTATTCCTTTGTGGCGCTCTAGAGAACAAAACGCGTGGGCCGATTTTGATTATTCTTACGTCAACCGATTAGTGTTAATCTTGTGAGTATCACTAAAGACATATCGCTTCAAAGTAAAATGTGAAAGTCGACGAACTATGACAAGTGGGGTATCTTTGAAAATCATATTTACATTTCTCTAGAAATTTTTCATTTTGAATGACCATTTAGGATCCATAACGATTTAAAGTTGTTTTTTTTTTAAATAGTTGGTTAGCGACCATTCTCGCTCAAAATTTCAAAACTTATAATAAAGCTGTTACAAATTTCTTATATAATCGTATAATGGTTATTATAAGTACTTAATTCTTTTGACCAAGCCGTTTTTTTACAACAGTATTAACCTTGCTTGTTATAATTATACAAGGCAAAGTATACAGGTCCATTGCAAATAGATACTCGCTTTAAGAACATGAATGATCTATAACCCCATATCATCAGTGAGTAACGAAAGAGGTTACCATGGAATATATAGATCTCTATCCATACCATTTTACCACGCTTTCAGTTTTGAGCTTTGTTCAAAATTTCAAGTCTAGCTCATGAAGAAGTTAGTTTAAAATTGATTGACAAAATTTGTACCGAACAGACATACAAATAAACAGTCGGACAAGACTGTGATTTTTTATTGCATCGTAATACGGTTCCTCATGTTGTAAATTTTAAGTCTCTAGAGCATCGGGAAGTTGCTTTAAAATCTGTTGCAATGTTTGTACCGAATAAAACAACAGGACAGACGTGGTAAAAATAACTTTAGTGGACTTTTTAATTGTTGAAGCAATAATATTTTGTTTAAATTCAACTAATAATGCTTTATTCTAAGTGTAGATCTATGAAACTAGTATTTTTTCTTCAAATTATTCAAAAATATCTTAACAGAATAAAAATGAAATAATTCCCCTATCAAGCGTGACGAATAAGGCAAATTCTCCCTACCTGCACTACCTGCCTTTAAGGACTGATAAGAAATGGTTTAAGATCGAACCGATAGAAATATGGATAAGATTCTATATTTCTATCGATTCGGTCTCGATTCTATACATAGATATTTATCAGGTATAGAGTATATTATATAGGTTATTTGTAGTAACATAATATATGTATTTATAAGTGCGTAATTTATAATATGTATGTTATATGTGTTTTATATTTATAATATATTTTCATGTTTTTACGGAACCTGCTTGCTTAGCTCGTGGTTGACTGATAAAGAATACCTGAAGGCACTAAGTTCGCAAAATTTACACTTTATGTGCAATAAAGATGTTTCTGTTAATAAAAAAAACAGTTTATTTCTATATAACGATCGTACATAATTTAGGAAATCGATAAAAACATGACAATGTTAAAACGTATGAGATTTTACAAGTCAAAAAAAGTTGGCTTATCAATTCCAAACTAAACTTTGTCTATTCATTGTTCCATATTCCTAGAAAATAATTCTACCTTTACATTGGATAGCCTCACTTGAGTATGGTGCTTTTTGTACTTAATTTCATCTCCGTATATGTGTGTCTTTACCGAGAAGTTTCGTAATAAGTGAACTAGCCCTGCTTTCACTTGTAAAGTAGCATATCTAGTCCCAACACAAATTCTGTTGCCTTTACCAAATGGCATAAAATTCATATCCGGTATGGCACTCCGATTTTCGCGAGAAAATCTTTCCGGTTTAAAAACTTTGGGATCTGGAAATATGTTGGGATCGTGATGAAATTCATAAAGAGGTGTAAATATTTGAGTACCTTTATCAACTTTGATATTTCCAACTGGTAATATAGTATCACGAACGCATTCTCTTGTTAAATATCCAACCGGGGGATGAATTCTCATCGCTTCATTGTAAGACATTTCTAGATATTCCATTTCTTGTAGGCTGTCAACAGTTATGGAGTTGTGTTTCTTAAACACTTTGTCAATTTCGTCATGAACACGTTTTAGAGCATCAGGATTACGCCCTAATTCTACCAATGTTACAAACATAGCGGCTGCACTCGGTTCGACACCAGCAAGGAAGAAAAAGAACGCTTGCGCTGCCAATAGTTCATCCGTTGGATATAATTCCAAGCCACTGTCAGAGTCTTTTAAGACACCATTATTTTTTAAATTTACACATAGGTCTGCAAAATCGTGCCTCTTTACTTTTTCTTGTTCTCTTTGGCGGATAACTTGTTTTATAGCACCAATGAAGAAGTCCTCGTGTTCTTTAAATATATTAATTCTCAAAGCTTTGTTTAAAGTGCGACATGAGGTAGCTAGCACAAACTTAATATTTTGTATTGACGAAGGTTTCATAATATTTTGAGCCATTTTAAGGAAGGGAGAGTCAAATATTGACTCATTTTCTATTCCAAACACAGCAGCCCCAATTGCAGCACTACTAAATGTACTTAATGTGTCAAACATGTCATCTTTTAATTTTTCTGGATTATCATTTAAATATTTAACGAAATCTTGAGCACTGCGATCCATTATGTAATACATGCTTTTTAATTTTGTTGATGTAAAAAGGGGTGTCATACTTTGACGAACCAATTTCCACTTATTGCCATTCAAGAACAGTATATTATTGGCAAGTTTATCACTTTCATTACATTCAAAACCTCTGTGATGAAACGAGTTGAAATCTGACTGCAAAACATGCTGCACATTTGTTGGATCCTTAACATACAGAGCAGGACCTAACAATGAACCTACCCCAATTGCTGGTTCATTTGGATATATTTTGTAAATTTCTTTGAATATTTCAAATATCGACAGTTTTGAAGTTAAAAATATTCCCATAGGACCGAAGACTTTACCTTTTGTATAAAATTTCACACCACGTTTCCTCCAGTAAATTTCATTATACAATCCTTTTAAATAGTATATTGCACATAGAGCTCCGAATATTACTAAAAATGTCCAAATCATTTTAGATTATTCAAAGAACACCAACTGAGCAGCGCACGTTATATATGACTGATAATACAACGATTTATTGTCTCAACAAATATATACATTTTTCGCCGTCCTTGAGTTCTTCTGTAACTCGTTATCACTATTGTAAAGTTGCTTACACACCGAATAGTGTTTTATTATATAATATATCATAATTATTATTGAAAACAAACAACACAAGCTGCTTAAAAATCATTGTGTTAAAAAATATTGAGTGAAACTAAAAATATAAATGGTTATGAATATTATTTATATACATATTTTTTGTGTTCTTGTACCTGAACTCCTAAACGGCTAGACCGATTTTGATGAAATTTTGTGTATGTGTTTGAGTGGGTCCCTGGATTGTTTAGATTGAAAATTAAACCCGACTATTTGTTACAGATATTATTACATTCATATTAACGTTGCGCAGAAAGACACTGTTCTACACAGTGAACCTGATCATTCCACGTGTTCGTCTCACGTTCCTCACTGTTCTTTTATTTTACTTGCCGTTAGACTCCGGCGTAAACGTAAAACGTTTATCTTCAATGTAAGTATTTGATTATTAATCTTTTTATTACGTATCATTATTTTTATTTCGCCGCAGTTTTCAGCTTATACCAAGTGGTTAAAAATTAAAAAACAATCCGGGGCTGGTGGACCAAATTATTTTGGGGCTAGTTTACCACCTAGTCAACCTACCCCATAGTAGGCTGGGTATACTTTACATGGAATAAAAACAGTTTTCTTTTTAATTCATCAAATGCTTGTTGTTGCAGAACTATGAGAACGTACAAAAAAGACTGATCTAGGAAGTATATCCAAAGATGTCTTCGATAGAGCATGTCAACAAGTTATTTTTGATAAAAATAAGTTTTAATTCTACAGCAAAAGAATTTGCTATACTGTTTAAAACACCCAATGTAAAAATTAACAAAATGTTTGAAGTAAACCGGCATTGACGAGGTTTAAATCAACTTTGGAGAGCGCTGGCTACACTAAAAATAGACAAATATTTAGTGATGAGGAAAAACTCGCATTAGAAAATTACCTCAAGAAGGCAGCTGCCCCTTATGGAACTCGAAGGTTTGCACTATTTATACAAACAGACTAACAAAGTAAAAAGAAAAGGAAGAGGAAAAAGATTTTCATGGGACAAATAAGAGGGAATAATGACGAAGAACACTAAAGTGATGAGGATGATACATTTTGTTTGGAGTGCACTGAATCTTACATTTTGAGTATTTCTGGAGAAACCTGGATTCGGTGCACTATGTGCAAGTGGGGCCCGTGCACAACACTGTGCAAATGGTGATATTTTGTTCCATGAATGCAAAAATTGCACCTATGATTTGAAGACTGATTTGATTATTTCAAAAATGTGATCTATTTCGTTAAAAATGTATAATTATATTAGGTGAATTAGTTAAGACTGTTTTTATTGTAATGTATTATTAAGTTAGTAAAAAGTTTACTAGTTTTTAAAATAGTAAAAGTATTATATTTTCAGTGTTTAGTTGACAAATGTTTAAATGTATGATGTTTATTCTAATTTATAATTTATGGTGTATATTTAAATTGTCAGAATTAAAAATTTCGTTGTAATAATATTACAAATACTACTTATAATTTTTTATCCTATATATTCCTATAATGTGTACTTATTATTTCATAGGTCAAATTCCTCTAGTCAGACAAGTCAACCAACTCCGGGCATGGGGTGGGTTGACTCATATTTCGTGTTCTACATAATTTAAAATTTAAATTTTTGTACAACCGACTTCAATATAAATTATTTAGAATAACTCAAAAACTATTGGTCAGACCCTGATCAAATTTATATGGGACTACATGTAAAGTACCAGCTTTAAAATAAAAATAGAATCATCGAAATCGGTTCACCCAGTAAAAAGAAATGAGGTAATACACATAAAAAAACATACAGTCAAATTGAGTACCGGCTCCTTTTTGAAGTCGGTAGAAAATTAATTTTGTGCATTATATCATAAACGATTGCGCGCTTTTTGTTATTTTTTTCAGAAGCTTAATAGTTTACCTATCAGATGTATTGATTTTTACAATAATATACACAAAACAATGAAAATAGAAGGGTCTTCACTGAAATTTGGTCAGCCATCCCCGGTCTCCCCTGCGCCGTGTAATGAGTTCTATTGCAGTGTACGTATAAATTGTATTTCGATCAAAATTTATCAATCTGGGCACGGCGCCACAACGTTTCATTGGTAACCAGACGCGCGAAGGCCATAACAATTACTTTAATTCTTATAAATTCTTATTTATAACAAGTGTGCCCGCGATTTCATACGCGCAAACATGTACTATCTGCGTATGCTATTAATAATATATATAAATGTTACTCTGTTGTGTATTAGGTACAACAATTAACTTAAATAACAAATTACTTCGTAAACTTCTGAAAGAAATGAGAAGTGACTATGCCCAACAGTCGGACATATATATATATATATATATATATATATATATATATATATATATATATATATATATATATATATATATATATATTCGGTCTACAGTACTTTAATGTAGCATTGTTGCCTTTCTTAAAGAACTAGACCGCTGCATTTTTGCTCCACCCGTCTGAATTAGTACCACCTTGGAGGAGGACGGAATAAAAGAGCTTCTGAAAGACTTTAAGTACCGATTTTCCACTCGCTTTCAAAACTTCTGCTGTAATAATATCTTCAGCCGGGGCCTTGCTGTTTTTAGGAAGTGCTGGGGAGCCATTCTAATCTCGATCAGACTGATGTTCGGGATATCATCGGAACAGTGTCGAATGAGGCTTGCTCATGGATGGTTGCTCACAAGGCTGCAGAAATATTACCCGTCTAAATGGCATAAGAATAAGACTGTGATCGGAGAGATTTTCGTTTCTTCGGCGGCTGGTCTTGCAGAACTTAGCTCCGACTGCATAGACAGTTTCCATGAGCTCGTCATTTATATTGTCCACTGTATTGCAATGTTTTTTATTAGGTGCTCTAAATATATATATATTTTTTTTAATAATTGCTCCCACTATCCGGTGTATTTTCATATAATTATTACTATTATACTATTTTTCTAAATGGTAAGAACATAATACCTTCTAATATTCATTTCGTTAAATAATAAGAACACGACATATTATAAATATGTCTGTAGTCGTGCGGAATGAGGGACGAGTCCTCCATTACCTTTTACAGATAAATTTTAACTATTTCAAAAAAAAAAAATAGTAAAAATAAATATCTATTTAATATGCAACTATAACCATCAAGTATTCTATCATTACATTGTGAGTGAGCTATATACATCTCTAAATATGATAAAATAAACATATAAAACTTATTTAGTTTAAATTATTTCAGATGAATAAATACATAAAAAAAATATTATATGTCATATTTACCTACTGCTGTCATTATTTGTTAGCGACATCCTGTTTATATTATTATTTAAATATTAACTAAAAAAAGGGAAATAAATAAATCAAAATCGATTTTTAATTAGATAAATTATAATTAATTACAGATCGCCCCAACTATATCTCAGCTGTCCCCACTAGAAGCCTTTGATTGTGAGGGGGATCAGGCTTCTGTCGGTTTGCGGTGGGAGAAATGAAAGCGTGGATTAGAGATATATTTACTAGCTTCCAATATCTCTACGCCTGAAAAAAAGCGAGCAGTCTTATTACATATCGGTGGATTACCACTACGGGAGATTTTTTATAAGATCCCCGGTGCATCAATCGAACCAACCCCCGATATTAATGTATATGATATCGCGATACAGAAATTAGATTATTATTTTGCACCTAAGCAAAACCGGTACTATGAATGACATTTGTTTCGCTTAATTAAACAAGAATAAGACGAGAAGTTCGAGAAATATTTATTAAAATTCTGTTATCAAAGCGCGAAATGTAAATTTACTGCTGAAGAGGAAAATATAATAGATCAAATAATCGAAAAATGCTCATCATCTGAACTGAGAAAGAGGATACTAACTATGGGTGATGAAGTTACCCTAACTAAAATCATATCAGAGGCTAACGCTCTTGAGACTGTGGAGAGACAGTTAAATGAGTTTGAACATAAACAAACACACAAATAAATAAAATATATGCTCAAATACCCAACCCTGAATGCACCAGGTGCGGAAGTCACAAACAGAAGAAAACATAAATCCGACAGTTTTTCTTGCCCAGCAAAAAACAAACAATGTACCAAATGTGGCTATACTGGTCATTTTAAAGCTCAGTGTAGGACAAGAGCTTATAAGCGTCAAAATATATAAAAATACGACAAATCGGGCAAGAAAACGAAAACCGGAGAAAAAGACAATAATAAAAAAAAGTACCTACTGACAAAAATACGATACGTGCCAAATTGGTGGAGTCGATATCGAAGTTCTAATTAACTCCAGGAGTAAGCACAATATAATCAATGATAAAACCTGGAGGTACCTGAAAGTACATAGAGTACTTATATTTAATCAAGAAAAATCTCCCAAAAAGACATTCATAGCTTATGGAACTAGCAAACCTTTGACAGTACTCGGTGCTTTTGATGCTTACATTACTGTAGGGGCAGAAACAAAAACAGGAAAATTTTATGTCGTTCAAAATGGATCAAGAAATCTGCTTGGAAAGGATACAGCTGTGTCCCTCAATGTGCTACGACTTTGTTTAGGAATAAACACTGTCATTGTCAAACAAACGCCATTTCCAAAATTTAAGGATGTAGAGCTTGATATTGCCATTGACAACGCTGTTAAATCAGTGAGTCAACCTTACCCTAGGATTCCAGTTCCCCTAGAATCTAAAGTTAACGCAAAGATCGACGAATCGGTTAAGTTAGATATAGTAGAACCTGTAAGTAAACCGTCAGCTTGGGTTTCGCCAATGCTTCCAATTTTAAAAAGCGATGGTGACATTCGAATTTGCGTGGACATGGGATGCGCAAATA